TGTGTGTGTGTGTGTGTGTGTGAGTGTGTGTGTGTGTGTGTGTGTGTGTGTGTGAGTGATGGGAGAAAAGTGCTATTGTTGGCAATAAGGAGTGACAGAACATATACACGGAGCAGGGTGTTTGAGTGTGTGTGTGTGTGTGTGTGAGGGTATTTGTGTGTGCGGATTTGTGTGTGTGTGCATGCACGTGTGTGCGAGTGTGTATGCATGCATGTGTGAGTGTGTGTGCGCATTTGTGTGTGTGTTAAATGCATGTGGGTGCACATTTGTATATTTGTAATTGTGTGTGTGTGTGTGTGTGTGTGTGTGTGTGTGTGTGTGTGTGTGTGTGCGTGTGTGTGTTTGTACTCACACTGGCATTCTTTGCAGCAGGTTCCTGTCACATACCCTGGGGTCGTACCATCAGGACACTCGAGCAGGGGGCACAGAATCTTCTCACAGCGGACCGTTCCATTCTACAGAAGTGCAAACATTCAGTCAGTGCTGGTGAGTTGCTAGTTTGCTGAAGATGAAGCTGTTGTTACACTGCAGTCAAGATACTGTTCATAATAATGACCCTTTAACAATTCACTAAATGATTTACTCAATGATTTATTCAATGATTTTACCAATAATGATGACTATAATGATAAGTATATCAATAACTATAATGATAACTGTAACTATGATAACTGCACTTATAATGATGATAAACAATAACTTCAATAACTATACTGGTAACTATACTTACAGTAATAATAACTATAATTATAACTATAAAAATGACTTTAATGACAACTATAATTGTAACTATAACTAATAATTAGAATGTTAACTATAGTAACAACAACTTCAATAATAACTGTTACTATAATACTATAATTATAACCATAACTATAATGACAACCGTACTTATAACAATAACTGTTACCATAACTATAACGATAACTGTAATCATAATTACTATAGACCTTTTTCCTGAGTAAACAATTACCAACTCTAACTTCCGATTGGATGCTCTTCTTTTCCGGTCTCCATAGGAAGTAAAGTGAAGGCACTATTGAGCCATGTGCATTTTTAAAACATTTTAATAGGTTTAACATTAGATAATCCGCTCGGAATATACGCTAATTTGACTAGAAACACTGGAGACTGGAAATACAAAGCATCCTTCCGGTTAAGAGTCAGGCGTGACTTCCGTGTTCAGGAAAAACCTCTATAACTATAACAATAAATATAATGATAACTGTAACGATAATGATAGCTATAACAATAATTACAACTAAAATAACTATAATGATAAGTACAACTATAGTGATAGCTATTTGTTAAATGAATCGCTAAATGAATCAGAAAAGATATTAAGATGATATTAAGATTTTTTAAAGAATATACATATAGAACTGCATTATTTAATTCAGGCTATTTTTTTTTAAATACGTAAATTATTTAAAAAAATAAAACATAAAAAAAACATAATTCAATATATATATATTCTCTGAAAACAGGTCTTAATATTTTACACAATTTTACTTCTCAAGTAAATTGACTTTGTTTCAATGATGTTTCAGTTTGTTCGATATATAATGATGTGTTACTGGTAGATAAGAGCAAAAAAAGACTGATCACAGTATATGACACAGCATTCGGTATATACTGTACATAAATCCATATTTAATCCCATAATAGATTGCTTTACAGGGACTCACGTCTCCCTAAAGCACGACATCCGTCTGTTTAAGTAGAATTAAGCTAATGTTCCTTTCACAAACTGTCCGGATCTCACTAACTTCCTGTTCCTAGTTTCACTGGGACCCCTGTCTCATCCGAACCGCGATCGCTGTCTGTTTGGACACTCTGAGCGCGCTGGAGACCAGCTAGCATCTGTCAGAAGAGCACAGGGACTTCTAAAGATAGGACAGAATCCCTTTGTCTGTCACTTTGCATTCGGCAAAATATTCGTCTTACTCGCAGATAATAAATGTGCAATGAGTGAGAAAGAAGGAGGATAGAGAAAGCTTTCAGCGAGACGTGCTTCACATCTGTGTTTACATTACGTTTGCTACACGGTGAGGACGCGCGTCAGAGGAATGTGCTGTCGCGTTTGACCTTTGAGGTGACATGCAAGCGCGCTGCTAATTAGCTAATTGCAGACTGCGTGATTGGGTGAGGAAACGGCGTCTAGTCGTGTGTGCGCCACTCAACTAGTAAACCTCGGTTTATAAAGTAGGGGTGGGCAGATTGATCCTAATATCGATAATATTGGTATTGATAATACAACATTGGTATTGGTATCGGATCGATACCGGCCTGATGAGAACGATACTTTAGGTTAGCTATGTTTCCATTATTCTGTTATAATGTGCATTTTGAAGTACCGCATGAGAAATGAGTGATGGAAGCGCCAACTTTTGATTAAAAATACCTTAATTCGCAAAAAACTTTTTACTCTCGCTTTAGGTTTTTGTACTCATGCGAAAAAGGTTTAATGCGAATAATGGGTGATGGAAACATATTTGCCGATTAAGTTCCTCCAAGCGCATCAATAAATCATGTGACTTAATTACCATTAAAGTTATACTTCATGCTTCTTCATCGCTCTCATGTATAAATAACACTTTTTTTCAAGTATCAAAAGCTTCACCATTTATTCACCATACATATCTGCAGCGCTGGGTAGTAACTGATTACATGAAATCTGGATTATGTAATTAGATTCCAAAAATTAACTACTTGTAATTTGATTATATTACATTTTAAAATGTTCATAATCAGATTACAGTTACTTTTTATGGATTACATGATTACATGTCATTCACACAAATTATTTATAATTCATTGATTCTGCCTAATTGTTATGTTTTCTCTTTTAAAGTTTCCTTTCTGTAAATCCTACTGTCTGTCTTATCATTTAGCTTTAACTATATTCACAATATGGAATGGTCATATAAATAACTTTGCAACACTATGTATAAAACAAATACTGTAATTGTGAAATGTATTATTGATTTTGAATGGTAAATTCAAAACAAGTTAGGTAAAAAGTAATCTAAAAGTAATCTAAAAGTTACCTAAAATGAGTAACCTAGATTATGTTACTAACTAATTGTTTAATTTAACCTTGGTTTTCTAACTATTTATTCAACAGATCCCAAAATGTAAAGATTGATCAACAATTATCCGAACCATTAACTATTAATAAAGGGGTCCCTCAGGGCTCTGTGTTAGGATCAACCCTGTTTTCAATTTCATTAATAATACTTCTCAGGTAGTCAGAAAACCTGTATTCACCAATGTGGTTGATGCTATTCTTTACGCTGTATGATCGTCATATGATGAAGTTTTAAAACAGGATAGATTAAATCATACAAAAACAAAAGTAATGTGGTTTGGAAAAAACCCAGCAAGGCAATAAAGACGTTATATCTTCAGATGGAGCAAAAACTGAAGTAGTATCTTCATATAAATATCTCGGAATCTGTCTTGATAGCTCTTTGACTTTTACTAATCACATAACTAATCTTCAGAAGAAAGTTCAATCTAGACTTAGTTTTTTGTATCGAAATAGATCTGTGTTTACCACATCAGCCAAGAAACATCTTGTTGAAACCACAGTTTTACCCTAGTTTGATTATGGTGATGTAGTATACAGAAATGCACGTAAAGGTGTTCTGGAACAATTAGATGTGTTGAATCATGCAGCAATTAGATTAATTATTAATGCACCTTACAGAACGCATCATTGTGGATTATACTCTCTTTTGAATTGGACATCATTGCATACAAGACGGGAAATTCACTGGTATATGTTTATTTACAAAGTTCTGCTAGGCTTATAACCTGAATATCTTCAAAAGTTGCCTCATATTAATGCATATCAGAATCAGAATCAGAATCAGAATGAGCTTTATTGCCAGGTATGTTTACACATACGAGGAATTTGTTTTCGTGACAGAAGCTTCCACAGTGCAACAGAATGACAGTGACAGAACAAAAAACACAGATAATAAAAAAAATTAATTAATTAAAAATAGAACAAGTAAATAAGGAATAAAAATATACAAATCGACAATTGTATGTACAGGTATATAACAATAGACAGTTGTATGTACAGGTATATTATGTGTAGTATACAACTAGTATACAACTATATAGTATACAATATGTATATAGTATACAACTAGATCATCTAATTATATTTCCTTGACTATCCCTAGCAAGAAAACAACTTATGAATATGCTGCCCCAAATGATTGGAATGTGCTACAAAAGCTATCGAATCTACAGACAAATATTCCAGTACGTGAATTTAAAAAATTACTAGTGAGTGCTCTGACCTCAACCTGTAAAGGTTTTAAACTGAGATCTTATTCTTTTTTTATGTGCTTTATGTATTGTAATGCATGTTTGTATGTTTCTCAGGAGATATTGATTCTCCTGGCAGGCTGTTATCGGAAATAAGAACCTGTTCTTAGTTGACTTGCCTGGTTAAATAAAAAAAAATAACTAAAATTTTCCTCATGTAATCTGTCATTTGCAAGTACTCCTCCTAGCATTGCATACGAGCCGAGCCGTCAGACTCACCGAACACGTGCAGTTCTTGCAGCCATCGGTCCAGGTCTGCTCCTCTCTGTAGGTCACTCCCTTCACGTGACACGTCCTCTCGCAGTAACAGGAGTCCAGACCCTTCATCTTCTCCTCAGCCAGAGACAGCTGCAGGAGAGAGAGCAGATTAAACCCCAATTCAACTCACTTTCTTACAGAAAACAGATGAGGAAACGCCTGCAGTTGATTGATTATTTGCGATCGTCCGTTTGCATTTTTCATTAAGCGGACGATACAAAGGTGTTTTGCCGACACGCTTGATCAGAAGAGTTTTTCCTCATCAGCGGCAGAGTTTTTGGCAGCCGTGAGTTATTACAACACCATAAACAAGCCTTTAAATTCACAGCACAGACACAAGCCAGATGTTCGCAGAAACTAGGCTCGGATTCATCTGTCAAACAAACAGCGGAGAAACACGCCGCGTTTAGTGCCAGCTCACTGCAGAGCAGGATTGAGACATCGAAAATAACGTTTAATACCAATTTAACTCCTGAATCTGAGGTTGCAAACGAGATACAGAACTATAATTTGAGTTTCGAAAGGTTTTTTGATTTTTCAGTATGAGTTACCATATACACAACATATGGAATATATCCAGACACATTAGATCATAGTTATACTGAATATTTATATATTTTATATATATTTATATATATATATATATATATATATATATATATATATTAGTCTTAAGTTACCTATTTGACTTAAGTTTTTAGTTAACTTAAGTCAAATAAAATATTAAAAAGAAAAGAGACAACATTTATCATTTTAATTTAGTTCAGTTTGATGTAATGAAATAACTCAAACTGAAATAAAAATGTATAAAACTTTATAAGTATAGCACAAAAACAACTAAAAAATAACAAAAACACCACAGAATGATTAAAACTGTAACTGAAATTAAAATGGAAATGGAAAATCTAAAAATAAAACTGAAGCAAAATTTTTGTTAATCAAAATACAAATTTTAAACTTTAATCTAAAGAAAATTTATAAAAACTTACATTTTATTTCAGCTAGTTGCCAACATTTCTTATTTTCATAAGTTATTTCAATATTTTAATATTTTCTTATCATTTCATTTAACTTGATGTACTAAAATAAAACTAAAAGTGAAATAAATATTAATACAAATATATATTTACGTTAAGAAAAATGCTAAAAATGACATTCACACAAAAAATTACTAACATTTTAACTAAAATGGCAATGAAAATGGAAAATATAAAAATAAAACTAATTCAAAATATCTATTTAAAAAACTATAATATATTTAGTATAAAAAAATGTTACATAAAATAAAATACACTTCAATTAAAAAAATATACAAAAAAACATAAACTTATTTTATTTAAGCTAATTAATATGTTTCATTTTATTTAGTTTAACTTAAATAAATAACATTTTTAAAAACATAATAAAAATAGACATAAAAAACTACTAAAAATAACAAAATTAAAAACTGAAAATATAAAAATTAAAAGCTGATAAGATATTATCTCAGTGGTTGAAAGTTAATGGCAAAGTTATTTTTGATTAATCTGATGGAGATTATTTATAAATTCTCATTTTTTGTGTTCCAATGCTTTCAAAACGAATGAAATTCCTCTGTTGTGTCACTGTGACTTCAGTAGATAAATAAAGCCAATTATCAAACTCAATTTTGAGTTGCACGGAAACAAAGCATCACCTTGCTCGAGGTTTTTGCCAAGATGTCCTGAAGCTCCATGATCTTCTGCACGAGTCCGTGGAAGTCGTTGCAGGTTGGACAGGCTAAGAAAGACACATAAACCAGATGCGTTCAGCAAAATGCAACGACTAAACCATTGCATATGTTTAATTCGACAATCACAAATAAACTAATTAGCGGCACGTACTGCGGTTGAGGTCGGGGCATTGCGTGATGTATCCTTGAGGCATTACAAGGATCTGAACGTCTTGCATCACTCCCTGCATCAGAAACACACGCAGAGGTTATTCAGAAGCACGATTAGATCAGAGGAGAAATATTAATTACATTTAAACACATGCATTCATGGCTCTTTGCATGGCATTAAATGGGACTGAGAGAGTTTGATCAAGAAGCACACAGCAAACTATGACCTTGAGCGAATCTAATGAATTAACGACATGTCGTTCTGACCCAGAAAAATGTATTATTAACATGGATTACGTGCTGTGTGGAACTGCACTGAGAAAACAGCTTTATAAAGTAAGAAATGTCCCTGTATATACAGTCACCAGCAGTGAGCATCATGGGTAAAATCTGAAGTAGTGGCTTTTAGATGTTCAAGGCTGCTTTTATTTGTCGGGCGAAATATGAAGAGAAAGCTTAAGCGCTGAAAACACTAATAAGAGAGCGAAACGAAGGACACGGATGAGCGTGGCCTTTCCCCAGGACATGTTCTCTGGATTAGCACCTGTTAAGCCATATTGCTTTTCTCTTAGCTTCGATTTGCGGCTTATATTTAGAGCTTTTATCTCCGTGTCGAATCAAACTCGCACACGTTATTCAGAATTCAGTCCTGAATGTCGCTGGATGCCATGTAGAGATGATCCTTTATTAAAATCAACATGATCTTATTAGTACTGGTAGGTATTTGTGTGTAAATTGTGCTTCTAGTGCACGTTTAAAATGCAAAATATTGAGTTTCTGAAATGTAAACACCTTGTAGTTGTACATGCATAAAAGCTTTGAAGTTGATACATCAGTATTAGTTCAAAAGATGTTTTTTTTAAAGAAATTTTAACTTTTATTTATCAAGGATGCATTAAATTAATCAAAAGTGACTGTAGAGTCATTTATAATGTTACAAGACTCAAATAATTGTTGTTCTTTTGAACTTTCTATTCATCTGTGAATCCTGAAAACTAAATCAGTATCAGTTTCCACAAAAATATTGGGCAGCACAACTGTGTTCAACATTGATAATAATCTGAACTGTTTCTTGAATGATTTCTGAAGATCATGTGACACTGAAGACTGCAGTAATGCTGCTGAAAATACAGCTGCACATCACAGAAATAAATTACAGTTTAACACATATTCACATAGAAAACACTTATTTTAAATTGCAATAATATTTCACAATTTTCACAGTGTTTTTGATCCAATTAAATGTTGTTGCTTTTTTAAAATATATATAGATTGCATATTTTACTTTTTTTGTTCTTGCTAGGGCTGCTGAATTTAACACTAATAATTATTAGGATTAGTTTTATTTAATTGTATTTTTGTTTACATGCAATTTAGATTTTTTTTCTTTTTTTGATACATTTAGGTTGCATATGTTACACACACACACACACACACACACACACATATGTATACTAATAACTAAAATGTGCAAATTAAAGGATGTAATGTATGTTTTTTTTTTACTTTTTTAAAGGAATTGTATTGTTTATTTTAGTTGTATTTGTTATTTTGTGCTGCAAAATGTAACAAGATATGAAATTATATATATTTTTTTAAGTTTCTTATACATACAGTATATATACGTTTGCATATTTTATGTGGAGTATTTTTAGGACTGCCAAATTTAACACTAATAATTTTTTTTATTTAATTGCACTTTAATTTACATGTATTTTTTATTTTTATTTTTTAATTTTTTAATTTGCTATTTGTTAATTAATTTACTATATACTGCATGTGTATATATATATTTATTTTATTTATTTATGTTTTTTTTGGGGGGGGGCTGCAAAATATAACAAGATATGAAACTATTATTTTTATTTATTTATTTATTTATTTTACAGGGTTTTTTTCAACAGCTTACACACATTTTCAAATATTTGCCTCTTTTTTTTTTAAAGTTTTTTTTCAAAACTTTACACACAAGAATGCAAAATGCATCACATCTCTTGCAAAATGAAGCACTGCATTCAAAATATCACAAACACATCTCAAAAGCAAACATTTGCAAACACCTTTGCCATAAGATTAATTCCTGTTAGATTTGTGTGTGTTACATAGAGAACTGTGTGTCGTGTTTTGCAAAAAGCGTTTTATGAAATTGAAAACTGAGTGAAAGGCTGAGAATTAGCGTATGGTTTTGCAGATTTGGTGTGTGCTTCTGCTGTTTGAGTGTCAGCTTTCAGAAACTGTGTGACAAGTACAGATTTGGTGGGTAAGCAGTTGAAAAAAACTCTAGTCGTGTTTCTTGATTATATATATTTAGTTTGCATATATATTTTACTTGCAGTATTTTTTTAGTGCTGCCAATTTCAACAGTAATAATTCATGCTTATTTTTTATCCAACTGTATTTTTGCTCCATGCATTTTAGTTTGCGGATAGTTTCTCGATGTCAAACACTGATCACTCACGAACTCGGCAGCCAGCAGCTTTTGGCTTGGCGGCACGAACCCGGCTCCAGTGAAGAAGTTTGCGACTCGTGGCGTAATCAAACAGCAGCACTCGGGATCCAGCAGAGATGAAGCGGCGCTTGAGTGCAGCCGTGGCCCGAGCGAGGAGACTCTAATAGGAGGTGGGCAAGGCCACGCACTCGGGTAATTGGACATAATACGCGTCGCGGGGAGGAAATGATGTGGGCGGCGGGAGCATAATAACAGCTCCCAGTCGCCGCTGTCCCACTCTGATAAGCAAAACAAGCAGATACAGATTGAATTTGTTTCATATGTGCCTTAATTTGATTGGCCTCCATCCGCGGCGTGCGGCCGCTCGGTTGCCATGGCAACCTGGCCCTTCTCGGGCCGCCAGAAAGCATTTATTTTGGCCCTCGCGGGAGCCGAGCGCCGTGACTTATGAGAAATTGTTTTCGAAATTGTCTTGCCTCCTCAATTTTCCTACCATGAATTCAAAAGCCGACGCAGGTTTCTCCGGATTCTCCATGGCAATGAGAGGGAAATAGAGGTGAACGCTCTGAATTTATAGCAACTCGGGATGTCATTTGGTTTCTCTGCGAGTCAGCGACACACACACACACACA